AGATCATTGCTAAGTATGAAAGTGGAGTGCGTGTCTCCGAGCTGGCCAGGTTGTATAGTAAACCCCAATAAACCATCGCTACTATTGTGTCCAACAAAACGGCAATCAAGGAAGCTGTTCTTGCCAAAGGTTCAACTGTGTTTTCGAAACAGAGATCGCAAGTGATGGAAGATGTTGAGAGACTCTTATTGGTGTGGATAAATGAAAAACAGATAGCAGGAGATAGCATCTCTCAAGTGATCATAAGTGAAAAGGCTAGGAAGTTGCATGAGGATTTAATTTAAAAAATGCCTGCAACTAGTGATGATGTGAGTGAATTTAAGGCCAGCAAAGGTTGGTTTGAGAGATTTAAGAAGCGTAGTGGCATACATAGTGTGATAAGGCATGGTGAGGCTGCCAGTTCGGACCAGAAAGCAGCTGAAAAATATGCGCAGGAATTCAAGGAGTACATAGAAACTGAAGGACTGAAACCTGAACAAGTGTTTAATTGTGATGAAACAGGCCTGTTTTGGAAGAAATGCCAAGCAGGACCTACATTACTCAGGAGGAAAAGGCACTCCCAGGACATAAGCCTATGAAAGACAGGCTTACTCTGTTGATGTGTTCCAATGCTAGTGGTGATTGCAAAGTGAAGCCTTTATTAGTGTATCACTCAGAAACTCCCAGAGCATTCAAGCAAAAGAATATCCTCAAGGCTAATTTGTGTGTGCTGTGGAGGGCAAACAGTAAGGCATGGGTCACTAGGGACTTTTTCTATGACTGGTTACACCATGCATTTGCCCCCAATGTGAAAGATTACCTAACTGAAAAGAAATTAGACCTTAAGTGCCTCCTGGTGTTAGACAATGCCCCTGGTCATCCTACACCTGGAAAATCCTAGAGGGACTAGTACCGAACTTGCACACGAAAATCACTCACTACAAAAGCAAAAGACTTGGCAGACGATGCAACATCCCCCCAATGAAAAGCAGGGGTGTCACTAGCACGTTAAGAGACCATACAATAAGTGTCAGGGGCCCGAGACTGTTGAACTGCCTCTCAGCATACATAAGGGGGATTACCAACAGACCCCTGGCAGTCTTCAAGCTGGCACTGGACAAGCACCTAAAGTCGGTTCCTGATCAGCCGGGCTGTGGCTCGTACGTTGGTTTGCATGCAGCCAGCAGTAACAGCCTGGTTGATCAGGCTCTGATCCACCAGGAGGCCTGGTCACAGACCGGGCCGCGGGGGCATTGACCCCCCGGAACTCTCTCCAGGTAAACAGACGTGGCAGAGCGACTTTGTGGGGACATGAGCTTCATTAAGGTGAAGTTTTTGCCTCCTAATACCACTCCTCTCCTGCAGCCCATGGACCAGCAGGTTATTGCAAACTTCAAAAAACTGTACACACAAGCTCTGTTTGAAAGGTGCTTTGTAGTGACCTCAGAAACTCAACTGACTCTAAGAGAGTTCTGGAGAGATCACTTTAATATCCTCAATTGTGTAAACCTTATAGGTAAGGCTTGGGAGGGAGTGACTAAGAGGACCTTGAACTCTGCTTGGAAGAAACTGTGGCCAGAATGTGTAAACCAAAGGGATTTTGAAGGGTTTGAGGCTAACCCTGGGAATCCTATGCCAGTTGAGGAATCCATTGTGGCATTGGGAAAGTCCTTGGGGTTGGAGGTTAGTGGGGAGGATGTGGAAGAGTTGGTGGAGGAGGACAATGAAGAACTAACCACTGATGAGCTGCTAGATCAACTTCAACAGCAAGAGGCCAGACCTGAGGAAACTGGTTTGGAGGAGGGGAGAGAGAAATTGAAGAAGTTGTCTACTTCAAAGATTAAGGAAATGTGTGGAATGTGGCTTAAAGTGCAAACCTTTTTTGATGAAAATCACCCTCACACAGCTATTGCAAGCCGTGTTGGCAACCTGTACACTGACAATGTTGTGAACCACTTTAGGAAAGTCATAAAGGAACGAGAGGTACAGGCCACTATGGACAGATATGTTGTGCGACAGAAGTCCAGTGATTCTGAAGCTGGTCCTAGTGGCATTAAAAGAAGAAGGGAAGTAACCCCAGAAAATGACTTGACACCTCAAATCTTAATGGAAGGGGATTCCCCTTCTAAACACTAAGACTCTCTCCTCCTCCCATCCCATCAATCATCACCAGATCTTCAATAAAGGTAAGTGTCATGTAACTGTGCATGTCTTTTTCAGTTTGTGTGTACAGTGGACCCCCGGTTAACGATATTTTTTCACTCCAGAAGTATGTTCAGGTGCCAGTACTGACCGAATTTGTTCCCATAAGAAATATTGTGAAGTAGATTAGTCCATTTCAGACCCCCAAACATACACGTACAAACGCACTTACATAAATACACTTACATAATTCTTCACATTCGGAGGTAATCGTTATGCGGGGGTCCACTGTATTAAAATTAATATTTCATGTGGTAAAATTTTTTTTTTTCATACTTTGGGGTGTCTTGCACGCATTAATTTGATTTCCATTATTTCTTATGGGGAAAATTCATTCGCATAACAATAATTTCGCATAACAATGAGCTCTCAGGAACGGATTAATATCGTTATGCGGGGGTCCACTGTATATCCTTTTACCCAAGTAATAGCTTTTATATCCTTTTACCCAAGTAATAGCTTTTATATCCTTTTACCCAAGTAATAGCTTTTATATCCTTTTACCCAAGTAATAGCTTTTATGTATATCCTTTTACTCATGTACAAGTTAATTGCTCTACCTATTGTATTACTACAGTACAGTGGTCCCTCGTTTTTCGTAGTTAATCCGTTCCTGGAGTTGCTACTATTATCGAAATCTATGATTTTCGAATCAATTTTCCCCATAAGAAATAATGTAAATACAATTAATCCGTTCCTGACTCCCAGAAGCATTAAAACAAAAAAAATTTTTACATGAAATATAGATGTAGTACATAAACAATACAATGGTAAATGATGAATGAAACATTAACAGCATAACACTTACCTTTATTGGTGATTCTTCTTAGTGTATGGGAGACTGGAGGAGGAGAGAGAGTGGATTGTTTATAGTTTGGAAGGGGAATCCCCTTCCATCAACACCTCAGGTACCAGTTGCTTTTCTGGGGTTGCTTCTCTTCTCTGTTTCTTAATGCCACTAGGACCACCTTGAGAGTCACTGGAGTCCTGTCTCACAAAATAACTGTGGAGAGAGCTCTGTTTCTGGCGTCTCTTTAACACTTCCCTAAAATGGCCCAAGACTTTGTCACTCTACATGTTGCCAACCTGGCTTGCAACAACCTTGTCAGGGTGATGTTTCTCCATAAAGCTTTCCATCTTACCCCACATAGCAAAAATCTCTTTAATTTCTGAAGAAGGCACCTTCTTCCATCTCTCTTCCTCCTCCTCTGCAACAAGATTCTGAGCTGCGATCTGTTGCTGTTCCTGCTGAAGCTCTTGCAGCTCCTCAGTTGTGAGCTCTTCTTTACCACAGGCTTGGCACTAGGAGCTTTCTTTGGAGCCATGGTAGCTTATTTAGCACTTGCAAGCACTAAAATGAGTGGAATATTATGAAATATTTTGTAGGAGCACGTGAGGGGACCTTCGCTCACTGGTAAACAATGCCAGACTGGCTGGGTAGGGAGGCCGCCCCGGCTCACATCGTGCGTACGCATCCCGGATGAACTACTATTTGTGAGTCAACCTATGATTAGCGAGCCCATGTTTATACGAAAATATCCCTATGATTTCCAAAATCTATGATTCCTGAGAAGTACGAAAAACGAGGGACCACTGTACTATTACTACAACTTATGTCACTACTACTACTACCTCTAGTATTGCACCTTACTCTGAGCCTATATATACCCTCTGTGTCCATGTACTGTTTGTAACGGCTTGATAAAGCTCCTGGAGAGCGAAACGTTGCCACAATAAAATGTCACATTAGTTGCACTTGTGTCCTTTTACTTTACATGTTGTCGGTAATTCTACCAACATTATCACATTGTTTCTGTTGCCTTTGGGTATGAACCTCTCCTCTGCCTCCTTGCATTTCATCAGTTATTCCATCATTTCATTAACTGTTTTTCCCACCAGTTCTCTTTCCCACTGAACCTCATGCAAAAAATTCCTCATGCTTGTGTAGTCCCCTCTTTCGTAGTTTAGCATCTCCCATCCTACCCGTGCTGCTTCACTCTCCACTTTTAACTTGTGTGTGTTGTGTGTGTGTGTGTGTGTGTGTACTCACCTATTTGTGGTTGCAGGGGTCTTGTCACAGCTCCTGGCCCCACCTCCTTGCTGGTCGCTATTAGTTCCACACTCCCTTTTCCATGATCTGTTTCGCATCTCTTCTTAAAGCTATGTATGGAACCTGCCTGCATTACGCTCTCCAGATTATTGTCACTCGGTGACATTTCTATGTATGTGTGCATGTATACACTCACCTATTTATGGTTGCAGGGGCTGAGTTGCAGCTTGTAGTATGCATGCTTGTGTATTAAGATATCAGTTGTCAGAAACACATATCGATAGACTTTTGGCCTCTTGTGCTGTGTTTTAATTACTGGATTTGCATGGCACCTGTCAGTAGACACTTGGCCTGATTTTGTGTGTGTATGTATTTGTGTACTCACCCATTTGTGGTTGCAGGGATCAAGTCACAACTCCTTGCCCTGCCTTTTCACTAGTTGCTGTTAGGGCCACTCTCTTCCTGCCCAAAGAGCTTTATCATACCTCATCTTAAAGCTATGTATGGATTGTGCCTCCACTATTTCACTTTCTGGTGTATGTGAGAGAGAGAGAGAAGACAGAGAGAGAATGTAGACACATGCATATCTCTCAAACATTTTAATATAAATAATTTCTCTTTTAATGCAGCACTAGCCCCATGTACCACATGTTCTTTACAAATTTAATACCAATGGAGATAAACCACTTAGACTACAAATGTGCTGTAACTAATTTGTGTAACTATTTACATGTACCTACACCTGAATAAATTTACATTGACTTGACAGGGAAGCCAGTGTGAGCACAGCAGCAGCCACAACAGCAGCAGCAGCAGTGTGGGTGGGTGGTGTGGGCATAGTATGGGCGTGTGTGGGGTAGCCAGGGTGTGGAGTCACCTCACGGATGGTGCTAGGAGGCTTGTTAGCCACTCTGGTGCTGCTTATGTTGCTCCTTAAGCTACTACTAGGTGAGTAATATCCCAGTCAGCAGTTATTTCCTAGGGAGTAATATTTCATCATTTATGATTTGGTGAGTATTATTTGATCAGTTATGTTGCTGGGTGAGCAATATTTGATCATTTATGGCTGGTGAGTAATATTTAATCAGTTATTAAATGGTGAGTAATATTCAATCAGTTATATTGGTGGGTGTTGGCCTTGTTCACCTAGCATTAAGTAGGTACCTGGGTTTTAGTCACCTTACATCCGCTGTCACTTCACGTAGTAGTAAGTAGGTACCTAGGTGTTAGTTACACCTGCTGGTACTGTTGACCTAGCAGTAAGTACGTGAGTGTTAGTTGACTGTTGTAGGTGGCATCCTGGGAGAGGGTTAAAGGTCCACACTGGAAATACTTGTAAGCAAAACTTGTTTACCGTTGTTAGTTTATGTCACGGAACTTTACTCTATGAATATTACTGATTCTATGTCATCACTGAAAGTTCTTGATTTACATAATGACTAACATGATCATGAAAGAAGCTAGATATAGATACTCAAAAATCCGGGAAAAAGGAATTAACGTACATTTGTTATGGATTCCGTCACACATTGGATTACTCGTTCATGATAAAGCTGATGAGTTAGCCAAGAAAGGTTCCCTGAAGGATAATGTTAAATATAACTTTGGTATAACTGTGTCTAGTATTAGCAGTAATCTTAGGAGAGAAGTAAATAATGAAACTGAGTGTTATAGGAATGCAGTTAGAATCTTGAATAGATCTATAACCCACTATGATAACATGAAGATAAATTGATCTATAACCCACTATAACATGAATGTAGATAAGTACATTTATGGAGTAATTTGCAGTGTGAACACTGATTGATGTAGTACCCAGACTTAGGCTTGGTTACAAGTACTTCTGACAGTGTGATGATGTAGTAGCCTGGTGGCTTAGGCTTGGTTACAAGTACTTCTGACAGTGTGATGTTGTAGTAGCCAGACTTAGGCTTGGTTACAAGTACTTCTGACAGTGTGATGTTGTAGTAGCCAGACTTAGGCTTGGTTACAAGTACTTCTGACAGTGTGATGATGTAGTAGCCTGGTGGCTTAGGCTTGGTTACAAGTACTTCTGACAGTGTGATGATGTAGTAGCCTGGTGGCTTAGGCTTGGTTACAAGTACTTCTGACAGTGTGATGTTGTAGTAGCCAGACTTAGGCTTGGTTACAAGTACTTCTGACAGTGTGATGTTGTAGTAGCCAGACTTAGGCTTGGTTACAAGTACTTCTGACAGTGTGATGTTGTAGTAGCCAGACTTAGGCTTGGTTACAAGTACTTCTGACAGTGTGATGATGTAGTAGCCTGGTGGCTTAGGCTTGGTTACAAGTACTTCTGACAGTGTGATGATGTAGTAGCCTGGTGGCTTAGGCTTGGTTACAAGTACTTCTGACAGTGTGATGTTGTAGTAGCCAGACTTAGACTTGGTTACAAGTACTTCTGACAGTGTGATGTTGTAGTAGCCAGACTTAGGCTTGGTTACAAGTGCTTCTGACAGTGTGATGTTGTAGTAGCCAGACTTAGGCTTGGTTACAAGTGCTTCTGACAGTGTGATGTTGTAGTAGCCAGACTTAGGCTTGGTTACAAGTACTTCTGACAGTGTGATGTTGTAGTAGCCTGGTGGCTTAGGCTTGGTTACAAGTACTTCTGACAGTGTGATGTTGTAGTAGCCAGACTTAGGCTTGGTTACAAGTGCTTCTGACAGTGTGATGTAGTAGTAGTCTGGTGGCTTAGGCTTGGTTACAAGTACTTCTGACAGTGTGATGTTGTAGTAGCCAGACTTAGGATTGGTTACAAGTACTTCTGACAGTGTGATGTTGTAGTAGCCTGACTTAGGCTTGGTTACAAGTACTTCTGTGATGTTGTAGTAGCCAGACTTAGGATTGGTTACAAGTACTTCTGACAGTGTGATGTTGTAGTAGCCTGACTTAGGCTTGGTTACAAGTACTTCTGAGAGTGTGATGTTGTAGTAGCCTGACTTAGGCTTGGTTACAAGTGCTTCTGACAGTGTGATGTAGTAGTAGCCAGACTTAGGCTTGGTTACAAGTACTTCTGACAGTGTGATGTTGTAGTAGCCAGACTTAGGATTGGTTACAGTACTTCTGACAGTGTGATGTTGTAGTAGCCAGACTTAGGCTTGGTTACAAGTACTTTGACAGTGTGATGTTGTAGTAGCCTGGTGACTTTAGGCTTGGTTACAAGTACTTATGACAGTGTGTGATGTTGTAGTAGCCGACTTAGACTTGGTTACAAGTACTTCTGACAGTGTGATGTTGTAGTAGCCAGACTTAGGTGGTTACAAGTACTTTGACAGTGTATGTTGTAGTAGCCAGACTTTAGGCTTGGTTACAAGTACTTCTGACAGTGTGATGTTGTAGTAGCCAGACTTAGGCTTGGTTACAAGTACTTCTGACAGTGTGATGTTGTAGTAGCCAGACTTAGGCTTGGTTACAAGTACTTCTGACAGTGTGATGTTGTAGTAGCCAGATTTAGGCTTGGTTACAAGTACTTCTGACAGTGTGATGATGTAGTAGCCAGACTTAGGCTTGGTTACAAGTACTTCTGACAGTGTGATGTTGTAGTAGCCAGTGGACTTAGGCTTGATTACAAGTACTTCTGACAGTGTGATGTTGTAGTAGCCTGATTAGGCTTGGTTACAAGTACTTCTGACAGTGTGATGTTGTAGTAGCCTGGTGGCTTAGGCTTGGTTACAAGTACTTCTGACAGTGTGATGTTGTAGTAGCCAGATTTAGGCTTGGTTACAAGTACTTCTGACAGTGTGATGTTGTAGTAGCCTGGTGACTTAGGCTTGGTTACAAGTACTTCTGACAGTGTGATGTTGTAGTAGCCAGACTTAGGCTTGGTTACAAGTACTTCTGACAGTGTGATGTTGTAGTAGCCAGATTTAGGCTTGGTTACAAGTACTTCTGACAGTGTGATGATGTAGTAGCCAGACTTAGGCTTGGTTACAAGTACTTCTGACAGTGTGATGTTGTAGTAGCCAGACTTAGGCTTGGTTACAAGTACTTCTGACAGTGTGATGTTGTAGTAGCCAGACTTAGGCTTGGTTACAAGTACTTCTGACAGTGTGATGTTGTAGTAGCCTGGTGGCTTAGGCTTGGTTACAAGTACTTCTGATAGTGGTGATGTTGTTGTAGCCAGATTAGGCTTGGTTACAAGTACTTCTGACAGTGTGATGGTGTAGTAGCCAGACTTAGGCTTGGTTACAATTACTTCTGACAGTGTGATGTTGTAGTAGCCTGGTGACTTAGGCTTGGTTACAAGTACTTCTGACAGTGTGATGTTGTAGTAGCCAGGCTTAGGCTTGGTTACAAGTACTTCTGACAGTGTGATGATTGTAGTAGCCTGACTTAGGCTTGGTTACAAGTACTTCTGACAGTGTGATGTTGTAGTAGCCAGACTTAGGCTTGGTTACAAGTACTTCTGACAGTGTGATGTTGTAGTAGCCAGACTTAGGCTTGGTTACAAGTACTTCTGACAGTGTGATGTTGTAGTAGCCTGGTGGCTTAGGCTTGGTTACAAGTACTTCTGACAGTGTGATGTTGTAGTAGCCAGACTTAGGCTTGGTTACAAGTACTTCTGACAGTGTGATGATGTAGTAGCCTGGTGACTTAGGCTTGGTTACAAGTACTTCTGACAGTGTGATGTTGTAGTAGCCAGACTTAGGCTTGGTTACAAGTGCTTCTGACAGTGTGATGATGTAGTAGCCTGGTGACTTAGGCTTGGTTACAAGTACTTCTGACAGTTGTGATGTTGTAGTAGCTGACTTAGGCTTGGTTACAAGTACTTCTGACAGTGTGATGTTGTAGTAGCCGACTTAGGCTTGGTTACAAGTACTTCTGACAGTGTGATGTTGTAGTAGCCTGGTGACTTAGGCTTGGTTACAAGTACTTCTGACAGTGTGATGTTGTAGTAGCCTGGTGGCTTAGGCTTGGTTACAAGTACTTCTGATAGGGTGATGTTGTAGTAGCCAGATTTAGGCTTGGTTACAAGTACTTCTGACAGTGTGATGTTGTAGTAGCCAGACTTAGGCTTGGTTACAAGTACTTCTGACAGTGTGATGTTGTAGTAGCCTGGTGGCTTAGGCTTGGTTACAAGTACTTCTGACAGTGTGATGTTGTAGTAGCCTGGTGGCTTAGGCTTGGTTGCAAGTACTTCTGACAGTGTGATGTTGTAGTAGCCAGACTTAGGCTTGGTTACAAGTACTTCTGACAGTGTGATGATGTAGTAGCCTGGTGGCTTAGGCTTGGTTACAAGTACTGCTGACAGTGTGATGTTGTAGTAGTAGCCAGGACTTAGGCTTGGTTACAAGTACTTCTGACAGTGTGAAGTTGTAGTAGCCAGCTTAGGCTTGGTTACAAGTACTTCTGACAGTGTGATGTTGTAGTAGCCAGACTTAGGCTTGGTTACAAGTACTTCTGACAGTGTGATGTTGTAGTAGCCAGACTTAGGCTTGGTTACAAGTACTTCTGACAGTGTGATGATGTAGTAGCCAGACTTAGGCTTGGTTACAAGTACTTCCGACAGTGTGATGTTGTAGTAGCCAGACTTAGGCTTGGTTACAAGTACTTCTGACAGTGTGATGATGTAGTAGCCAGACTTAGGCTTGGTTACAAGTACTTCTGACAGTGTGATGTTGTAGTTGCCTGGCTTAGACTTGGTTACAAGTACTTCTGACAGTGTGATGTTGTAGTAGCCAGACTTAGGCTTGGTTACAAGTACTTCCGACAGTGTGATGTTGTAGTAGCCAGACTTAGGCTTGGTTACAAGTACTTCTGACAGTATGATGATGTAGTAGCCTGGTGGCTTAGGCTTGGTTACAAGTACTTCTGACAGTGTGATGATGTAGTAGCCTGGTGGCTTAGGCTTGGTTACAAGTACTTCTGACAGTGTGATGTTGTAGTAGCCAGACTTAGGCTTGGTTACAAGTACTTCTGACAGTGTGATG